TAAGAAAGTTGAAGATTTTTCTAAATTCGAGCGAAATTTTATTTTTAAATATTGAAAATATTAAATTCTATTCAAAGGAAAGGCTTTTATTTCGACTAAATTGTAAAGAAATTATGGAATAGTTTATTTCAAAGATGACTTATAGGTGTTTCAAAAAAAAATGATCTCCTCAATTCAATTTTCAATATTCTTCTTAGTCTAAATATGGACTTTTTGTGGGGGAGGAGGGGATAAAAATCTGGAACCTCCGTAGAATCCAAATACATTCACATGTTTTCTTTTTCCGTTTTTGTCCCCAAATAAATAAATAAGCAGAAAAACATGATTTTATTTGGAAAATTGGCTGTCTTTAGTTAAATTATAATCTTTTGAAAGTCTCCAGAGATTTTATTTCAAACCCAATATTTGTATTTTAGTATGATCATAGTATTAAATGAAAAATTTCGAAAATATTTAAGGATAGTTTTGTTTTTGACTCACATTATTTCTGTGCTGTTTTGATAGAATTTTTCGAATATATTTTGCAGTGTTTTATCTAATGAGATGCCCTAGGTGAAGCGACGCTTTTCCTCTTCCCCGCTGAGTTAGGATCAATACATCGTGAAGTAGATGGTCAGCCTGTTCAGGACTTTAGGCTATATCTCCTCTCTCGGAGTTTTGAATGGTTATTTCGAAGGAGAAATTCTGAATAAAATATTGGTATTTGATTAAAATCTAACTGTATATCTTCACTATTGGAGAACGAAATTCATGTCGATGAACTAGACGAGAGTTAAATATCTTAGGTTAGATAGGAGTTTCTGTAAAATACTAAAATAAATTTAACTGCTGTGATTATATCATTTTATAAAAGACTTCATAAAATAGATAAAAAAATCCATATACTTGGAAGCATAACAACTATGATTCATTAGACTGCAACCTTCCACGATGGACGATAATATAAAATGTCCTTGCATATGTTATACTTTCGGACGCAATCTACAAAACATTAGACTGTGACATGAGATAATACTTACAATATTTTCAATCTAGCCTTCGTTACACTGATAATTCTTCTGTGAAAGTGAATAATTACTATTTTTACAGTTTACTTCTAATTAGTAGCATGTATCCTTGGAGTCTAAGGTAATTAGAACTTGAAATCTACAAGCCTTAAGTCAGTTTGATCTAGTTCCGAACGCTTCGAAGCAGTTCATTTTTGTTTATCGATCGATGTTTCAACGTGTTCTCGAACAATAACTAATCGAGAAATGATCTAGGCAAAAACTAAGTCTATTTTATGTAATTGTACACACAAAACAAAACAATAAAGGAATGCTTATCAAAAATAGATTATGACACATTATTTTATAATTTTTTATGGTACCTAGATTACATAGTCTAAATTATCCAACTCGTAATAGAATACTCAAGATTTTTTAAACTTAACCTTAGCAAGTAAATGAATAAACAGAAATATTCTACTGAACAAATTCTAATGTTTCCTAATGCATTTACTTATGATGATCTTGTAAGAAAAAAAAACCAAAAAATAAATATATATTATAAAAATTCTCTCTCAATATATAAACAATCTAGTTTTTTTTGTCATTGCATAGATACCGATCATCATATAGCCAGTATTCAACGAGATTTACTGAGAAGTTGGAATATTATTTGTCGAAAACAATACGGTCGGTAAGTATCTCTAGCATTCTGTTATCTAATATAGAAAAACCTAATAGAGTGATCTAAGAAGAATAAATCAATTTGTAACTATCTTTTTTTTCTTCCTTGATGAGTCAATATGAAAAGAAAAAGATATAAGACATCGTTTATATCTTTTGTTCCAAAGCCAACGCTCTTCGATTAGACATCATGGTCTCTTTCTCTTAGTAATGGTAACAATATGACACAAATGTTTCAATGCGATTGTATATATCACCGTCTCGCCTATTCAACACAAAAGAGTTTTCTTTCTTTACTACTAAGATGTAACTTTTTTTGTCATCCTGCCATCCGATCAATAAAGAAGAGTCATTGTACTGAATGATTGATGATAGTTATCGCGACATTCTCTTTGAATTCATAATTAGTGTCCACTATGGGAGGTTTTACTGTATATATCTAAACATTATATATATGGATGAATGAGCACAAAAATCCATATGAAAGTATTGCGTTTTACCTGTAGTATAATTTATCTCTTCATCATAATTTCTTTTTTTATGCATTCGAAATAATCAATTAGAAGCGAGTGTATTTTTGGTTTTTTTTTCTTTCTTTCTTTTTATCAATCTTTATATATCGAGCTATGCAAATATATCATCGATTCATTACATACGATACCTTGGTAGAAGAAAAACACTTTTCTTCAAAGTTTTGTTCATCTATTATTTTTATCAATATGACATCCATGGAGGATTTATATCCAACTTTACAAAGAAATACTAGAAGATACGTTACTTGTACTACAAATGATTTATCATTTTGAATAGTGTTATTAAATATTATTCAGCTATATCATTTTTGTATATATCAATGAGTGCAATTCACGAAGAGATATCTTATTTTAGGAGTCGTCTGCACTATGTATGTTTATTTTTGAAGATTCCCAATGTTCTATAACAGTCGAAAAACACAATAAAACGAATACATATTTAACTTTTGGTAATCTCACAAGGAAAGTCCCTTCCAACTGATTAATTACTTTTGAGTTAGGACTATGTGTGTCATGTAGATTCAAATGAGTTTTGAATCTCTTGAAAAGAGTTCGAGCTCTTAGCTTATTGCTGCGAAGATATTGCATTTTGAACATTATTTTTTAAATGAATGCTGTGATTTCCTCAGGAAAACTGATTTTCGAATTTTGACTAGAAACTTTGTAGAGAGACAAACCTGAACGAATGCAAAGGATGCTCCAAAAGCCTCTACAATTCTCTATAAATTGACGTTATCTATATGAAAACATATATAGATAGTTGACTGAAATACAGAGTTTTGTAGAAAAAGATTAAAGCTATCATGTGAAAATAAAAAATGATTCGAATTTCATCTAGATCATGAAAAGTGAGGGTTGCTTTATTAATCATGAGTAAACATTTTACATTGTACATATTTCTGCAAAACCTAAAATATTCTTGTAATGTCTGAGTGATTAAAGTCGAGCGAAATATTAATCTCTAGATATTTTTACGTGGTTCGATAGAGTTCAATAAGCTCTACAAGAATATCAATACCAAAAATAATTCTCATCCTGTTTTCAATACAAAACTTGGAGGAAATCAGGCAAATTAATAAAAATCTCACATATCTTGCATGAGATAGTATGCATAACTTTCAATAACTTTAGTTGATATGACTGTTAATTGATGTTCAGAGATGCAATATTAGATACTGAAGCTGAAAATAATCTTTCCGAGCTGCATGAGCAGTCAATCAGCTATAGTTATTGAAAATTTAGCTTACTCTTTCTAGTGCTGGATGTATGAAATTTTTATTATTCTTTCTGGTTTCGTCCAAGTTTTGTACTGGAAACAAGATCAGAGTTTATTTTGTTTCGATATTCATATTCTCGTATAGCTTGTAGAACTCTATCTAATCATGTAAAATATCTAGAAAACAACATTTTACTTCAAAGGTTACACACAAATTTTGTTTTTGCAAAAAATGTAAGATGTAAAATATTTAGTCATGATAAGTAAAGTAATCATAACTTTTCATGATATCGATGCAATTCGAACTATGCTCTTTTCAGACGATAACAATAATCTTTCTCTAGAAAACTTTCTATTTCAATCATCTATCTCTATATGTATTCATATAGATAACATCAATTTAGAGAGAAAAGTCGAAACTTTTGAACTACCCTTTAGTCTATTGTGAAAGCTTCAGATCTTTTGATTTGCTTCAATCCTAAAATAAGAACATCGAATCTGCCGGTGTGTATGAGCGCTATAACGGACACGCCTTTACTATAACTGTATCTTAAGATAGGAACAACGACAAGATCTGAAACTAGTCTGGTTAAGGTCTGTCTGTGTAGAAATTCGAAAATCAATTTTTCTGAGGATGCCACGGCATGCATTTAATCCTTTGAGTAGTAGCGTACTTTATAAAGTACATATTCTCTAAATTTCTGAGTTTTTCAATAACTCACGAATGAAAAAAAAATCGAGATGCAGCTTTCTCTACAACATAGAAGAGACTTCAGTGCATACATCTATATAATAATTACAAGCATCATGAGTTTACTTATGCTATAAGCATGATGAACCATTGACAGACCATCTATACATAATTTCACATCATTTTAGGGATTAGAGTAAAATGGTAAAGGTAGTTATGAATGACTAAATTTTATATCAGCCATGGAATAGATAAGTATAATATAATACAATGAGTTAGTTAGTGACAAATGGTGATAAACTATACTGTACCAGCATCACTATATGAAATCGATTTGAACGACATCTATCACAATTTCTGATACTTATCAACATAGACTAGCTAAATTTTTTCAGAGTTCTGCACATCAATTTCTCTCACAGGTTTACTAGTTCCTATCCATTTTACATAAAAGTATATCATAAAAACATCTTGTAAATATTTAAACTTTTTTTATTGTACATTTTTGTATATAACTATTATTGTAATAAATAAATCTATTTTTCACCAAACTAAGCTAGTTTTAAAGACTTTCAGAAAGTTTTGGTAGATATACCAGTAACACCTAATACTTATCTCAAATATAATATCTTAAAGAAATTTCGTCTATATTGGTTGAACAATGATACTCAAAGAGTTAAAAACTACCGTAAAAGTGCAATATCTCGACAGTAATAAGTTAAGAGTTTGAACTTTGTTCAGGATGTTCATAGCTCATTTGGGTCTACATGATGCACATAGTCATGACTCAAAAGCGATTAATTGGTTGAGAAACTTTCCTCGTCAATATTATACTGATCAAAAGCAATAAAATTTTTGTATTATAATTTAGAATAAAACTTCCTGTACCAATGTTTGATCGATCACAACTAAGTGCTTGGAGTATACTTAAACAATGCATTGGAAAAGTAAATATCATACAAAACAAAAAACAAAGAGTTTGATCTAAAAAATAATTTTTGAATTTTAGGAATTATTTAAAATAACAATGCCAATTATTTGGAATGAACCTGTTTCATTTTTACAACGTCTTACGGAAAATTTTCTTTATTCATATTTACTTAATAAAGCTGATGAATGTACTGATCCACTTATGCGGATGCAGATAGTTTAAAATGAGAAAAGTGAAAATAGAAGTAATGTCAGATAATCGGACTAAGAATTTATGAAAGAACAAATAGATAACGATAAATATGATGACAAAGAGGAAAACGCCAGTAGAGACAATTCTTTTTTTATCGTTCATGATGACAAATAGTAGCGCATTTATGATTTCTAAGTAGAAATATAAGTCACATGATCATCTGTTTATTTTTTTGTTCAGATTTCAATCATGTCGAGCGAATATTATCTTTATATAGCATTGTAATTTCTTCAATGCACTATTCGGTAAATCCTTAACTGTAATATACTCATCTCATGAGAGAACTCGTCCAAATGATTAATCGTTTTTGAGTTCGGACTTTATACATAAGATCGAATGAGAGTAGTTCGATCTGTAATTTTGTCCATAGATAGGCCTATTTCTAACTAGAATGCTCTGAAAATTTTAGAGTATTGGACGAGATATTCAATTGCCAATAATCACTCATGTCTCATGAATGATGCGAGAAGCTTATGGTTTTTGTTTTGAGATTTAGTATCCCGTAAATGAAACATTCTTTTGACTTAAAATTTTCAAAGCATTCCTAATACAAATAGATCTATCTATGAGTAAACTTCAGATTAGTACTATCGTCATTAGATTTTGTTGGTACATACTCTACCATAAGTTAAAGTTTTAGTAAAATAGCTAGAATCTTGAAGAAACTTATCATGTTAACATTTTGAATACTTCGCTGACGTCTATCTTATGTACAGAGTTCGAACTCAAAAATCAAAACTATTAATCACTTAAAACAGTTATCTCATCAGCTTGATATGAGATAAATTTATTATCTGAAATTTAGATGTTAATGAGTAGTTTCAAAATTTTTTTTTTATTTCAAAAGTATGTTGCTGCATTTGCTGTATCATCAATTTCAAGTAATATTGATCGTTTTTCAAAACCATTTAATCCATTACTTGGTGAAACGTATGAGTTCATTCAGTTAGTAAACTACTGATTTATTTACCTATCATTTCTTCTTTGTTTTATTTTGTATATATAGTGATGATTTACCATTTCATTATATAAGTGAACAAGTTAGTCATAATCCACCTGTAAGTGCATTTACGTGTGAATCAAAAGATGATGATACACGATGGAGACTTTATGGAAATATTTTACCAAAAGCTAAATTTTCAGTCAAACATATGGACATACATCCAGAAGGATTATTAACACTTGAACTTAAAAGGTAAAAAATTGTTAATACAATTCCTACGAGACTAAAATGTGAAACACGATATAGCTTGTAAATCATAAGGGAGATTGTTTTATTGTATCTATTTTATGATACATTTTTTCACTACTCTTTTACTTAATCCTCCAGATATGCAATAAGGAAGTAATTTATATATATTCTAACGAGATGTTATTAATATACGGTCTGTGATGCGATGAGGGGGCATAGTGTGCATTTTTCGCATTGCAGATGAATATGTAACTTTCATTATCGCAAACGGCTTTCTTTCGTTCCGAAGTAATTGTATATTATTAAGAAAATAAAGCATTTTTGATAAGAAGAAATACTTCAGAAGAACTCTTGCCCACATTTTCTCGAAAAAAATTTTTCAGTTAGAAAATAGTTTATGCTATACATTATTCGATGTAGTTTCGCGCTCTGATTTCGAATGTACTGTTTTTGTGTAATGATAACTTTTATGGAGCGAAAAAAAAGTGGAAACTACCTGAAAAACTATGATTTCTTGAAAAATTCATATCTAAGTAAGGTATATCCCAGTGAGATATGAAAAACTTCCAAAAGGATAAATCCTCTTAGGCCTTCTGTCTAGAGTTATAGACATTTTACTGGCATTTTAGCCTATGACATGGTATATATACCAACAAACTGAATGAGGGTATTTCGACCTGAGATTGTGAGTGAAATGTTTTCTTCCCGAGATATTAAAATCTCAGAAAACAGAAAATTTTAGCATCCTTCATGGAGTATGAATGATTTTTGGGATATTAATATCTCGGGAAGAACACATTCTTTTGAGCTGAAATTTTCAAAACATTCTACTCACAAATAGATCTATCTGTAGGCAAATTCTCGGGTCGAAATATCATCATTCGATTTGTCAGTATATACCATGCAATACAGAGTCCGAATTCAAAACCAATTGGTCAGTTGAAAACGTTCCCTCGTCAACGTGGCTATTCGAGAAATCACTACAGAGACGTTTTCGCTGGTTTCTTAAACATTTACTACCTCAAATTTAATTTTGTTTTACGAATCGATAGAGGATACTGAGCCAATTTCAAATATGTGCTGTATTTGCTTACTCATCGGTGAAGTCTTAAGCAAAAACTTAATTTTTTTAACCACAGGCATATTTTAAAGTTAAGTTTTGATTGGCAGGCTTTCTCCACTCTACTTGACATTCCCAACAAAAACTTTTAGGCCAGTAGATAGAGCATGTCTTGAAGTATATTTACTACCATTTGAATTGATAAAAAGTTTACTTTCGTTATTTCATCTAATGTCTGTTTGAATGAACACTGTAAGCGGGGAAGTGTTGCTAAGGTGCCTGTGATGTTTTCATAGTAATGTCTGTCATCGTCTGTGAAGAGGGAATGCAAATTTCTATCCTCTATACTTCAGCACTCCTTTCAGATCGTATTTCACAATAAAATAAGTAATAATTAATCTTAGAAATCTTTATTTTGTATTCTTTCATTAAAGACATAGAGAAGTATTTACAGCGTCAAGTGTCACCTGTACAATTCATAATATTATTGTTGGCCGACTTTGGTTTGAATATGTAAGTTCATTAAATTCTTAATTTAAGAAATATAAATATTGAATATTATAGCATGGTACTATGGAAATTATTAATCATACAAATAAAATGAAAGCAATCATACATTTTAAACCATATTCATGGTCAACAAAAGAATTACATAAAGTTGAAGGTTATATTATTGATTCACAGTAAGAAATATTTGTTTTGATGATATTATATAGTTTCTTTTTTTATTTTATGTATAGTAAAAATAAAGTACGCGGTTTATATGGTTTTTGGACAGATGCATTATATTCGATTGATATTGAACAATTTGAAACATTTTTAAAACAACAAAAAAAAGATGCAAAAAATGCTGCAAAATATTCGCAAGAACAAGTTGAAAATTCAGCATCATCAGTATATAATATTGATCTAGATGAAGAAGTACCAGATGTTGATCCATCACATGAACAACTTAATCTTCCACCGAACTCAATAACACTTTGGCGAATTATACCAAAATTAGAATATGCAGCTCAAGTAAAGATTAAAGAATTTTTTTTTTTTTGAAAATAGATATAAACATTTTTTTTTTTTTATAGTATTATAATTTTTCATTATTGACTATGGCACTTAATGAATGGACAGAAGAAGATCAAAAACAACGTCCATCATTACCACCAACAGATTCACGATTTCGTCCAGATATTCGTAAAATGGAAGAAGGTGATATTGATCTAGTTGGACAAGAGAAAAATCGTCTAGAAGAAAAAGAACGTGAAACTAGACGAACAATGGAAAAACGTCGAGAAGAATGGCAACCAAGGTATATTTCTGGTTAGAAAGTGACAATTAGCCGCATGTTTGACAGAAGCTTAGTTATTTTTCACTTTCTACAAATCTTAATTTACACGCAAGTGATTCAATCATCCACAGCATAACGTGAAGTTGAGGGCGGTATGTGAAAAATGAAGATATGCTACCTGTAATGAATAAATTGATGATCTCGTCGATAAACAGTAACTGAATGTTTGCATTCACCTTTTGAATTTATCGAAATGTTACAAGAAGATAAAAACTATATTCATTGTAGAAAAGCGAAAGTCGTATTATGTAGAAGTTTAAAAAAATCATATGAATTATGAGAATATTGCAAAGTAACAACTAGTTGCTCTCGTATAACGCTCCATACATAATTCGACGAATTTATTAAACATTCGTATTTATACTCATGTATTATGTTCCTTGTTCTTGACTAGATTGTTAGTTATTCTCTATCATATTAATAAAACTTGTTTGGCAATTTTATTTTTTCAGCATTATGACTAATTGTCGTAGACCTATTTCTTGTTTATTTTGTTCTTCTTTACTTTATTAGATGGTTTCATCTTGTTAAACATGACGTAACAGGACATGAAGTATGGGTATCAAACGAAAAATATTGGCAACGAAATTGGACCAATTGTCCACACATCTATTAATATCATCAATTTTATTTTTCAACGGTGATCATTTATTTTTATTTATTTTTCTTTCATCATGTCTATTTTTGTTTTTTGAATGGAATTTCAATTCATTTATCGGCATTATTTATAGTTAAATAAATCTTATGCTCATCATACCAACGCTTAAATTTATTTTAAATAGACAATAATATTGGATTTTATGTACTTTTTTATTTTATACTACTATATAATTATATTATTGTAGACTACAGAATATAAGATAGGTCGATGTTTTCAGATGAATTTTGAAAAGAACAAGATAGGAAACCTGCAATTTTCGTCAATTGAAAGAAAGATGATTTGGTTGCAAGACCATGCAAAATTTGATTGACCAGCAATCTGTCAATTAGGC